ATCCTCTTAAAATAAAGGTTATTATTATTATTATTATTATTATTATTATTATTATTATTATTATTATTGGCGGAGACACTTTCCAGAATATGGTAATTAAATGGTGATTGGTCGAAATCCTGAATGGAATGCAGTTCGAAAGTGAGCAGCCTTTTCTGGGAGAGTTATTCGCCTGGCGTGACGACTCCGGAAATGGCTCAGTGCAAAGTAGTCTACAGGTGATCCTCGTTTGTTTCTTCTCACTGACTCATAAGTTAACAAGATAGTTGTAAACTATTAACCAAGGACTATGGACTACGAACTACGGACTACGGATTGGGTGTAAGACCAGGGCTGAAAAGCCGACTTGTTCACACTCAGAGTTAGTTTCAATTTTAAGTTTTTTTCGCACAAGAGAGAAAATTGTCAAGTATGGAACGACCGTGATCAAAATCAATTAGTATAAACAAATCGCGTAACATTTTCAAAATATTAGTTTGTGGAGAAGTTGGAAGAACGGTTGCATGTTATCGGAAGGCCTCTGAACAAGAACAAACAAAGTGCCATTTCGTGATTATGGTTTCCAAGTGTTTCTGTCTAAGCTGTTGACCAGTAGAAAAACACGGTTCTACAGAATTATAGTCAACCCTTTATGGTAAAATCCTGGAAAAGTGTATTCCTAAATTGTGGATCGGATGCACATACTGTAATTTCGAGTGCGCAGGTTTTTTAATTTTGCAATATGGTGTTCGACTCGAGGCGAAAAGATGCACAATCTCAGTTATTTGCCTGTATAGTTACGAAAGACTGTTTATAGTAATGTATTCTCTAAAAAGATGTGCCGGTATATTTTGATTACTCCTCTAATTTACTTTTAAATTGTTCTTAATCTTTAAACGTCGATAGAACAAAATTTTTCTTTGGATGGAAGGTTTAACTTATGAAAGAACTAAAACAATAAGAAATGCATGTGCCGTCACTGATTTTAGGTCCTGTCACGGGGGATCATTCTCGTCAAATTTTGATTCTGAAGGTTTCAAAACCTACCAAACACGAACGGGATATGTACACTTAACTCGATCAAAATTACCTTTCAAGATGTAAACAAAAATATTCTTTGAGTCCTTCTTTTGACGTAAAAGATCAAGAGATGGGTGTGGCAAAACTACTACAAGAACCTTTTGAACTTTAACTTACTTTGGGTATACTGACACCTTATAAGCCACCTTGGCAACAGTGGTAGGTGACTTGAATGGAGAAGTGGTTTATTAGAGGAAATGTAACCACAAAGAGTGATTATGGCCGTTTCAGTTGAAAGTCTCCCATTCAGATATGGCAATTGTCATCTATCACCACGTCGACATTCAGCCTTTCTTTTTGCAAAATTTCAAAGGCGTTGATAATCCCACGTAGTGGTCACGACTTAGCTTCTGCTCTTTATGAATAAATATTTCTTATTCGTTAGTTTAACATATAATACGCCCAATTATGGAACGCCAAGGGTGACAAAAATGTTGAAAGCTAAAATATAGGTTGTACCACTAAATATATGTTGTACTGTGTTATAAATGGTTTGAATATTGCTTATAGATAGCTTACGTTGAGACAAATACAAAAATCTTCGGAACGAGACCGACGCGCGTGTCACGAGCCAACTTCGGGTTGTAAAGGCGACACCATAATGGACGCTGCCAACATTGGCGATTTTTTCGACAGAATTCCTGGCATTATCTCACAGGCCCGTCGACATCTTCACGACACTCAGCAAGAAGTAATCGAACGTATTCACAGGAGACTAGGGGACAGTCTTTTTTTTGGTGAACCTTCTCGCAAGTCGGGATCAAGTGCGATCGATGCGGACAGACAAGGTGATTTGTATTCTCTTATGGCAGCGGTGCGATCATTCTACGATGCATACTCAAGTAAAATAGCTGTGGACGATTCATGGGAGGATGGCCTAGCTGCAGTTTGTTATCAGCTTATAACGATTCGTAGTATTCGTGGAAGACCCAGGTTTGTTATCACTGGTCGTCAGCTTGGTGCGCTCCAATAAAGGCACTACAGTTGGAGGTCAATGGCAAGAACTTTGAGAGTGTCTTATCGCACTATTTTGAGACGCCGAGGTGAATTGGTTATGGCAATGGGTGAACGATTTAGTCGCGTTTCAGAGA